GGAAATATCACTCATCATCTAAATATGATGGCGCAGCGTTAACGTAAATGATCGTTGATTTTGTTATTGTTACTGTTACTTAAGTAGTAGCACCTGCACTGGACACTAATAATAAATAAAATATTTCTGATCTTTCGCATCAGTCATCAGACGCGTATACTTTTATTAGAGTATTTTATCAAGTTATACGATTTGAAACGGCAGTTAAATCCCTGAAGACTGACCATGGCGCTCTATGCCGTTGAGAACGGCCGCTTTGATAATCCAACTAACGCTGGACGTGTCATAAACAATGTACCAGAAAGGAATAAAACCGGAAATGATTATCAAGAAAGACTGTTATGCTCTCCTATTACAAAGAAAGAGACAAAAAAAATGAACTAATAATCGACAGGGAATATGTTAGGTTACGAAGTTTAAGTTAAGGAAGAGTAAAAGAACTGAAAGCAATTGCAATAAAAGAATGAAAAAAAAAAAAAACTAACGGCATAATGAAAATTATTTTATATTCATCTTCTTCATCATCTTGTTCTAATTGAACCGGTAACTATTTAATGTCTTTTCGCCTTTGGTACACACCATCGATTTACACGCGAATTATCTATGACAGCGAAAGAAGACGATGTACATGAAAGCGATGAATAAGTCAATTGGGCGGAAGAATTTAGAACTATGTTTAGAATTTAGAAAAGTGAGAGATTAGATTTACGATTTCCTTCTATTGAAATGAATTTTATAATAACACATATACACATGTCAAATACTACAAATGTTTATACCTGTTGTGTTGGCATAGCCTTTCAAGCTCTGCAGCGAAACTTGAAATTAAGTTTTATGATTTTATTGCCGTATAATGTTTATTTCTCTATTTCTATTAACATTTTAAGTTATCTTCTTCTTTGTTTTTTTTCAACAAGTTCTCAACATTAATTTCTTTGTTCTTTTCACACCTGCATGAATCTAAAGAGTCACAACCTAATGTTCTTGAAAATATCAGCTGTAAATTTGTAAGAAAATATGCCATTCGTAAAAAATCGGTGACAGGATCTAGTGCAAGCAATAACCAGTGTCCAGACGATAGCCAAAGCAGGGCGAAGGAATCCTCGAGCATAGCGGATGTGGTGCTTAGGGATTGTCAAAACAGGTTTGATAATCCTTTCGATTATTTCGATGCCATTGTTAATTTGAACAATGCCGATAACCAGTTCAAGGGACAACGTGAACATATTAAGGAAAAACAAGCAACTAATCTTAGTCAAGTGGCGCCGAATAATAAGTTAACACCCTTTACATTGGTAGGAAATAAATTTTCTTTTAACAGCGATTTCCATAAAGCACCTGCAGATGATGTAAACCCATTTCATAGCTTCTGCAATACGACTTGGACTAATTGGCCAGCAGACCAAGATAGCTCAGCAGACCAAACATTTTGTTTTAATAATTTAAGTCATCAAGAACGCCCGCAAACTATACCGCAACAATATATTACCCCCTTCCCCTGGCCTAACTATAATGATGGATGCAATTCTGATGATAATCGCCGCATGCAATTATCAGCGATACCAGTGACCGTCTCAGTTTCATCGCCGTCCTCCTCCTTAACGTCGATGGCAACGACGTGCTCATTAGAAACGTCACCATCAACGAGCAGTGCGACAAGCATCGTTCACCAAAAGCTGAGTCTTACGAATCCATTTCGCGTACATCTCCTTAATAATGGCAATTGTTGCGATAGTAGTAGCTTTACAAATTCTAACGAAACGGGTGTAAATGTTCTTTCCAAACCTGGCCCTAACTTGGCAGCGTCCTCTACTCGTACAAATTGCGAATTTAATTGTAATTATTTTGATAATGAAAGCAACAGCCACACAAGCGATGACCAAACTAATCAATCCTTAGCAAATTTTGCGAGTGATACGACAACCGCGCGTAAAAGGCAAAGTGTATTGTCACGTCCTTCCTACAATTCCGCAACTGCTTCTGTCAAGACGAGTACTGCTCTTCCGGCTATAAATTCTGTTGAAATTGTTCAATGTCACCGGCATGATCCTGATAATGATAACGATAACGGTATTGATGATGATGTTGATGTGAATGTTCATCTAGCAAATGCTAATTCGACGATTCAAAATGCAAACATTACGAGCTTTTGCCCTTCTAGTTATTTCTTTTCAAATTTAAACAAAAATATGAGTAACAGTTGCTGTAAGTCATACATATATTGTCGTTTTTGAAAGTTTTTTTTTTATTATTTACTTAACAAACATACAAGTTTTTATTTTCTCTTTTTGAGGATTTTACCATCCTTTTGTTCATCCTTTACACATTTACGTGGCTTTTATGTTATGTTTTGGCCTTTTTTCCATTTTTTTTTTGTTTTTTTTTTTTTTTTTTTTTGTTTTACTTATCGCCAAACTTGGTTTTTGCTATATTTGCCTAATTGGAAAGCATGATTTCTCCCCTAATTTTTTAATTGCATTATTTTCCGCAAAGAATACATTCAAGGAGGACATAAATGAAGCTTAACTTAAATATTTTTATTCATCATTTCGAAAACTGCACTATTTAATGAGTGATTTTTTTTCCGTATCCCTTTAGGGGAAATTTCGTCGATTGGGGGAACAGTTCTTTTTCACTCACAAATCTATTCAAATTTAAGCAAATTTCATTACGGACTCATGCACAGATTCAATATTCAAGTGGTGGGATTGAAAAAGTTTAACTCTGGGAGATTTTTCTTTCGAAATTCGATTAAAACGGTTCCCGCTATCAAGTGAACCCGATATCGAATTTGCATTTTGGGTTGATGGTTCTTGTTGACGAGAATCGGACGACGGTACTCGATCTCGTATGAATGTTCGCTAGGCATCGAATGTAAAATGTTATATTTTAGCCCGGAAGCAAAATATCTCTCAACCTTAATGTTCAAAGAACAAATCGACTAAAATGGACGTGGAGAGATTACTTAATCTCAGAGATGAACCGTACAAAATCTTGGCAAAAGTAATAAATTCAAATAACGATTTTCAATGCTTTTACTTGTTGGTACCCAAAAAAGTTTGGGTAGGTATAAATGCTTACGGAATTGACGAAAAAATTCTTGCGAAGTAGTGGAAATATACACTTACCCGAAATTATTTAGCAAATAGTCTTAAAATGCGATATTCAATGCCCGGGCATTATAGACTCAGGCAAATTTTATGTGGAATATGAAGTTAGTCGTCAAAAAAAAAGAAGAAGAAGTCAATTTAAATAAACAATGATATGATGCTTGATGCAATTGATGAAAATTTATTTTATATAGTTTCTAATTATTTCATCAAACTTTTTAAGGTTATCGAAGCAAATTCCCTCCCTTCCTTGCTTCACAGTTCGTTCATTTTACTGTTTGAGGAATTTACTAAATGATGATAACCGTATAGAACCTTGCCGCCGTGATGACAAGCGAAGAGGGTTACTCTTATTCCTCAGCAGTCTCCTTGGGATGATCACAAGATTTTCATCCTTAATTGTTTCTTTACGCAGGCATGTGTGCAGGTATAAAAAGAATGTAACGGGATCCATTGGTTTTGTTGCGTGAAAATAATATTTTATCGATTGACATTCAAGTCGAACTTTTTTTTGAATTCATTTACTTGCTGAAAATGGGTTTGCAGTTGTCGTCAATGGAGCACGCTAAGGAAATAACTGTTTTTTTTGTGGCAAAAATTAGATGACTTCGATTTTAACGATGTGTCGTTTCAATAAAATGCTATACATTTAATGACAAAATCAATTTATTGAGAAAAAGTTCAATGATTATGCAAACTCCAAGAATACCTAGGTGGCGCTGCCAGAAAAATCGTTCGATCGAATTCTGTTAGACTCTTTACTTTGGAGTCATGTTGGAGCATTGGCTTACTCCAATAACCAATGACCTCTCAATGACCTTATTCGCCCAGGTTATTCGTGTTATGGGTGAAATAAAAGCACACGTATGTGGAAAAGAGGCAAGAATTGGTGTTCCCACATCGAATTTGCGCAGAAGTTTTTTAAATAAAATTAGCATGAACCAATATCTAAATTAACGGAAAATTAATGTTTTTTGGAAATTAAAAAAAAAAAACACTCATTCGATTACCCTGTATTTGGTTTGTTTATTCATTTAATTTTCTCCCTTTACTTTGCAATATTTTGTTCTATATATATATATATATACCGATGATATCACAAATATTCCGTTATAAATACAACGGATGGAAGCTCAACACGATAGCAAAGGCAATCGAGTACCATCAACCCAAAAAGCGATCGTATCGTTTTTCTCCTTCGTATCGTATACAGGCCGACCCCAGATCCTTGAGAATAACTGACAGAAAGACATATCAGAGTGCCGTAATATACGCTTTAGTGGCTGAGCTAAGCTAAGGTTTCATTTTTAACAAATCCAGCACTGCTTATGCATACGCGCGCTTAAGGCGTACTATCATCTGTCCACTAAAACTGGGGTCACTTTTCTAAAATTTATTTAGAAGAGCAAAAAGTTTATTAACATTCAGATTTTTGCTTATGATTTAATAAATGGTTAAATAAAAAACGTTTTTTCAGATTTTTTTAAAAAGAAAAGAAGGAAAAGGTGTGACAGCTTTCGGGAAACAATGATTTTTTTTCTTGACCTTTGTATTTTTTTTTTTTTTGGCATAATTATTAATAAAAATAATTTTCCCAAAAGGCTTTTGTTAATATTTGCATCGTATTAAAATATAGATTTAAAATTATGTTCTTTGGCACGCATCCAAGAAAGTACGGAATGTGCATGAATTGATTGATTTTCCTCTCACTAAGCAATAATTCAATTTTTTTCAGGTCTTCCTATGCCCGGCGGATTCAGTAATAATCATTTTATGAATTCTACAAGGGATTGTAATAAAAGCAATCAGAATTTTTCGAAAGGTCGTAGCATTAGTAATAACGATAATAATTGCAATAATAATAAAAATTATTACAATAATAATAATAAAAATAATAGTAATAATAACAATAATAGCCAAAGTTCACCTTCCGAGGACCGCTATGCTGCTTTAAAAGATTTAGACGAACAGCTAAGAGAAAGCAAAGCGATAGCTGCACAAGCAATCTCTACAGTAACTTCAAATGTCGTTGAAAGCGGCTTTGGTAATCGTAAGTTATCTCATATTATATTTGATTAGTTTCGACTATTTTTGATTATTTTCACATTTTTACAAAATTGCTTTTAGCCTCCAATAATAATCAAGTGAATCCTTTTGCTACACAATTACCGCAAGAGCATCAGCAATCGCAGCCAGCCAATCCATTTCGAAATGCCACCCACAGTGCCGCCCAACTCTTCGGTCAGATGACATTAATACCGGCTTTAGCAACCGCCAACGGTCAAAAAGCTCAGGCCAATGCAAGTTTCTTTAATTATACGTCAAACGGTTTTAATGCAGCTGTCGTGAATGGAACTAACGGTTGTGGATTTGGATTCGGTACCTTACAACAACAAATCGCATTAACTGGCCTTGGCTTCACCGACAATACATTTAATAATCCATTTGCTGTAAGTTTCTTTTCTCTTGCAATTAATTAACTTATTTGATGCTTTTTACTATTTTCTCAATGTTTGACATTTTCCTTACACGACCTTCTGCTTATTAACGACTATGATGATGATGATGATGATGATGATTATGATTATTATTGTTGTAAATAATTTTAAAAGAGATTTTCTTCATTATGTTACAGGCAACAGGAGCTCTTAATGCAAACAATCCATTTTTATGAGAAGCAAGACAACGTCTCGACTGTAGAAAAAGCAGTGAACATGTGTTATTAAGCTACGCAATGCCTAAACCTAATTAAACATTTTTATTTACGAAATGAAAACTTCAAGCGAAGGAAAATTATTTAGTACGTTTACAACAAATGCGTTTATTAAGCTGATTATGAATACATTTTTCAACTGGCAATGTTACGAACAAAGATTAATTATTATAATATATTCGTCTAAAAATATTTCAAGAAAAAAATCTCTATAAAGAATCTTTTTCATCAACAATAAAAACAAAAAATCTGAAAAACTTCATCTTTTCTGTTCGCGAGAGAAAGAGAGAGAGAGAGAGAGAGAGAAAGTATGTAAACTTTAAAATATAAATCACTAACGAGAAGGAAAGACACCTCAAAACGTGCTCACACTGTTGACTTTTATATAAACAAAACAAAATAAACAATAATTAACAAATAGATTTCATTTAAAAAGAGTTATGCATATTCATGTGCACAAAAAAAAAAAAAAAACGTCAAGAATACATTAATTTAAACATAAAAAAAGAAAATCAAAAAATTTCAAAGAAACACATCTTTAACACGGAACTTAAACGTACAACAATCTCATTGAATTTTTGTAGCAAAAAGAAAATTATTATATAATCGATCCAATTCGCATTTTCTAAGCCCACCACTAATGTGATAGGATCGCTGCCTTTCCTTCTTTTTTGCCGTTTGTACTAAATAAACATATGTTTGTATCCATTTTATTAAAGAACAGCAGTCGCATATATATATGCGCTATCGAGGATTCAGCAAATTTTTGTATTCGTGAATTCAACGTAATAAGCATTTCTTCCTTTTCACTATACACACTTAACATATTCGCTATATACATACGCATACACGCATATGCTCTTACGGTTAGTTAATTTTTTTTTAAATTTCAATTAACGAAAGGATTGATGCGTAAACGCACATTTTTATTACTAATGTATTTCTTACATCTTCATGTTATTAACATTAAAACTGTTGTGGCTTTGATAAAGACTCCTAGATAGATAAAGAATTGTTTTTTCTTTAAGGAATGCTAACAAAAAATTTATTGAATAATTGCGGAAAAAGAGTTACGCTTTAATATTAATAACTGGTGGTGGGCATAAACGCAAAATATTTAAATAAGTAAATTTTCCAAATTTTGTTCCAAAAAATAAGTTAAAAAATAAAAATGCATATATATTAAAAGTACACTAAAAAAAAAAAAAAAAAAAATGAAAAATGCTTTACATGTAAAAAAAAACCATGATTATGTTATCATTTGGAAATTTATCATTATCATCAAATAGGAAATGAAGTGCTTTTAACAGCATAGACTGCATTGGTAGCTTCTTTGCCATTCTTCTATGCGCATTCTTTTGTACATACATTTCTAATCAGTGGCCTTTTATTAGTGCTTTTTTATTTTCTATTTACATCCCTGGGATCGCGTGACGTACATAATCTTAGGAGATGGAAGATTAAGTTTAAAACATTACGTGAATCGTGCGTAACAAGCAAAAAGTTGCAAAGCGAAAATGTCTCTGGTATACCTTCATACTTCATATGCACACACAAACATAAACACACACACACACACACACACACACACTTCAGTAAACAAGATAATGTAATTTATATTCCATAGCAGTTTAGATGGAAAACTTTGCGCAAAAAGCGTGGAAATGGTCTTAACAAAGTAATTGATCCATCTCCAAGCAAGCAACAAGTGGTCTGCAATATTTACGTATTTTCTGCCTATTCAAAATTTTTCGCTTTCAATTAATTAAAGTTGATATAATTCGTTTTTTTGTCTTGTTTACATAAGCGTAAGCTTGAAAACTCAGTCCATAGTAAGAGCCAGCATATGGTAGGATAGGTTTGTATCTAAAAAATTAGAAGCAATTTTATATGCAGTTTGAATATCAATCATAATAATAATAATAATAAATTAGTGATGGTAACAGTGGTGTAAAAATTATGAACAGCATTGTTAAGAATTTACGCAAAATACTTACTTGTCTTATAAAATATATCCTTTGCTTTTAAATTGATCGACTAGAACACAACGCGGAAGACATAACGCGCGCGTTTGCATTACGCGATTCCTACAGAATGCAAGCAAGAACAAACATTCCATGAACTGGAATGGTTTGAAAAATTTCTTCTGTAAAAATCAACACTGCAAGCATTGCTTCTTTAAATGTGTTCACACGTAAGCTTAAAAGAGATCTTTGCACTTGCGCTATGTAGTTCGATGCAAACTTATTTAGCTTGCATAAATTCTCAGTTTCGCAATATGCGCTTTTCGTATAACGGTGTGCGATGGGATAACATTATAGGAGGCTTGACTATAAAAGCGCAGCTATATCTGAAACGCAGCCCATTATCATGTAGACCAGACTAAATATTAACGTGGACGGTAAAGCCGAATGTCAATATGCTTCACTGCGTGTTTCGACTCTGGCCAGTTTGGCCCATTTTTAATACCAGTCTATGTACAAAAACTTCCAATGTTTCTACCAAAATTGAAGTCGATATCTTAATTTTTACCGCTCGGAGAGTGCCAACACACAACAACGACAGACAGACATGGCTAAACCAACTCAATATTTCACGCGGCTCAAGAATATATACATATACTTTACAGAGTGTCTGAAGCATTCGTTTGAAAGTAACATACATTATGGAAAAAAACAAAATGAGTGTAGCCCCATCTTGCATTCCGACGCGATTTCTTTTCCACGGTCTTCACTCTTGGGTAGGAACATGTCAGTATATCAAATTTCTTGAAAACAATATCTCGAAAATGCAATCTGTAGGTTGAACGCAAAAAAAAAAATAGGATAGGCAGCAGACCGATGCTCTTATAGGTAATACGCTCTATAGTGTAGCGCATAAGAACGTGGTAAGTGTATAGAATTTTACAATGTATTATGAAAAAATGTCGATTAGACGACATTCGCCAATGAAAATTTACCCACGTGGCGCACGTAGCGTTTTGCAGAAAGCCTTTGGAATATACACATAACGCTGGAATTGTAACGCACATATATACATGATCGCATTTGCAACGAACGGTTTATCTAAATAAAAATGCAAATCGCTATCAAGATATGGTTTTTGCAAAGCGTCCTTATCTGTTCCTTATACCTTTATGTCACAAGAATTTTTATTTTGATTGACTGAACGGAAGATCTGCGTAATTTTAAACGAAAAAGAATATCAATTTTGCCTCAGAATGCCTGATTCATATACTCACCACAACAAAACTTTTAATTCAACCCCCATTGGTGTAAGTCCATGTTTTCGCAGTCGTTTTTTGCTGAACTATTAGATTTGTTTGAGCAAATGTTTGCTTTAACTTGGACATCGGCTATGAATTATATTTTGCGTGGATTACTTTGATTTTGGAAAGCATTGCCAGTTGAGAGTGTACATACAAAGCTACAGTCTCCGTAAATGTTCAGGAAGCCAGTGACAGACAGGCGGAGAAGGCTACTGTTATTCAAACTCTTATTCTGGACAAGAACGTGCACACAAGGCATGAGTGACTTAATAACTTTCTGTTATAATAAAATTGATGTCATTATTACTATTAATAATTTAGCCAGGAAAATAAATTGCAAGACTAAAACCTTGAAGCACTAACGTCTGAGGCTAACGGCTTTAATGAACACTCCATGTATGAAAACACGACTATTGAATTATTAGTCGAGATTATTTACCAGACGGATAAAAAAAATTTATATTATTATGACCATGCCTTCGGAATATAAAAATTGATTCAAAATCGCACAAGAATGACTAGTGACCGGTCACCAACGCTGGAATATTCCTCTCAGTGAAAATTGTAAATTGTGAAAATCGTTAATAGAAACTGAAATATTGACATGACGGTGAAGAAAAAAGAGGATACGCCTCACTCGAAAGTGTATTAATGTGTTCCCAATGGATGAAATGAATTCTAGAGAAAGGTAGAACGTTCTAAAGAAACAATGCCGATCCCGAAAATTACATGCTGCAGTGCGAAAATAAAGATACACGAATAAAATATGATTCTTAGCCGTTTAAGGGTGTTTTATATATATAGCTAATCAATACCAAAAGTAATTTGGCGCATAAACACAGTAGATATAATTTCAAGTAATGGTTTTTCAAGTGAATACATTAACAAAGTTTCAATCGTACTCGGCCAGTTTTCCCACAATTCCCGAAGCAACCATATTCCCACTTAGGAAAGATGACACACGAAACCTATACGTAATTTCTATGGTGAGGATATCTTCAAGCTCTAATTTAAACGGTAGTTAAGGGAAGACAGTTTTTACTCTTTGCCTTTTAATTCAATTTCAATTGGCTCTTAACGTGTATATATATAGTCTGCCTAGTAAATTGCTCTTTGAAGCTTACGATAGGTCAATCTATGGTCGAGTCAAAAATTGTCGAATACTCATTCCTTTTTTTTTTTCTTTGTTTTAATGGTAAGCGGCGAGGAGTAGAGGAGAGGGTAGAAAACGGAAAGCAAATTTTTAATAATATTTTGAAAAATAAAATTTAAGTTTGTTTTATATGACTTTTTTAATAATAATTATAGATTTTATTTTTCACTTCGATATAATTTATATAATTTCTAGTTTCTTCCATTTTTCATTTTTAATTGTAATTTTTGTTATTTTCCTTATTTAGCATTATCTTGTTTAAAGTTCGTATTTGGGTGTTTCTATAAGTGTGTGTGTGTGTGTGTGTGTGTGTGTGTGTGTGTGTGTGTGTGTGTTTGTTTGTTTGTTTGTATATGGATTTATGTATGTGTGTCCTGTATTAAGAGTAATCCTACCATTATAAAATAAATTTTGGAATATATTTATATTTATAAAATTATTGATGCAAAAAACGGAAATTTAAAATGAAACACATTTTATTAAGAAAATCAAAATAAAAAATTACAAAACAAAAATAACAATTCATGTATAATATGTATATTTAAGTGTAAACAAAACCAACAATTAAAAATTATTAATAAAAGAATAATAGATAAATTGTTAAAAATAAACATACATATATATACATATATATATATACGCTATATATATATGTATATATATTTATACGCTCGCAAATAAATTAAGTTTTATTCATAGTAATTTATGAAATTTGTCTTCAAATGAAATAAAGCAAAAGCGGGTTTGCTCTTTCTTCTGTTGTCGCTATTGTAATCTCGTTTAGTAAATATATTTATAATAGAGATGAATTTATAAAAAAGCAGTTTTTCATTTTTTCTCTCTTTGTACGAAATATAAAATGAGTTTATTTATCTTTTTATGTTAATTAATTAATTAATTAAGTAATTAATTAATTGGCTTTTTATTTGTAAGCAATATTTCGTTTTGACTGCTTTTCATTCATTTACCAATTATACATATACACCAAGCAACACACACGTCCTGCGATATATCATATGTGTATACATATATTTAGATCAATTTTTAACATTTATATGCCTTTTTTCCTCATTATTCTATATAAATGTAAATTATGAAATATTAATAAAATTTTTGCATAATTTCGTTTTTTCTCTCTTAACTTTTCAAATTTAATTAATAATTATGTGCGGTAGCGTCTATAAATTGTCATCCAGAGTGTCTTAATATAGAATCGGGGGAATTGCGTCAAATAGTTGAAGTGAAAATGGAAACGGATTTTTCTTTTGCATATGTATGTACTTTATGTATATTTTTTTGTTTTTTTTTTTGTTTTTTTTTTTTGTTTTTTGGATAGGCGCGTGTGCACTTTTTAATAATTAATGAACTTGATATCATTTAAAAGCTATTCTGTATTATTTATGCAGTAAACATATTTGCCTTATTATTGTATTTATTTTTTTTTATTTCGAATATTATCTTGTTACAGTCTACACTGTGAAGTTTTAGAATTTGAGCAGTTACTCATCGCCACTGTAGATTTCTGCGTGTAGACGGATATCCGGAGAAAATGGCGAAATCATAATCAGTTGATAAATTTCTAGTTTTTTTCCAAGAAATAAGTATCGGAATTACGAATCAAATATATTTCAATATTTAGATGTGGCGGGTTTTAGGTTTGATTCAAAATGACTATGAACTCTATAGGTTTTAAAAGGGGTCAAGTACAGAACAGATCTGAATTTCATCATTTTTGATTAGAAAGATGTTAAAAATTTCGCGGAAGGGAATTTTTAATCAAAACTGACAAGACGTCTTTCATAATTGTCATGTTTTATTTAATGCGTTGTGTGTTTTTTAACAAGACGAATTTCTTAATACTTCTGAATGAGGTAAATTTTCGAGTGCCGGCCGAAGCGTCCGATAAAAACAAGAATTTTTATTACTTTTAGGTCTTGTTTTCGGAATAAAAGATGATTCCTTATGTAATCTCTTCATGTTCATTCGGCTAATTGTGAAAAGGCTAAAGCTGTTTAAAATGCGGAACGCAGACGGACCGAACGAATATAAACTAAAATAAAAGTTGTAAAGTAAAATTAAAATTAAAAAAATATGTAAACCGAAAAGAAGTCTACAACGCATACTTTTTACTTATTAGATTTTCATCAAGAGAATTTTTTTTTTTTTTCTAATTTTTCATATTCAATGTGTATTTATACTGTAAACGATATAAATTGAAATCGTACGTCAGTTTCGCTGTCAGTTTGCTTACTACGCATTCATGTGATTTCGTATTTTGTTTATAAAAATTATATTTAAAAGAAATATGTTTTGTCTTCTTCTGCATTGCATGGATTTATATATAATTATTGTTTTAAATTTTTAAAGTTATAAGAATGTGATGGTTTATATATACGTAAAAGCTGTGCAGCAAGAGATTGCAATAGTTGACTGACTAAATATGTATCTATATATACACACATATATCTACATACATATATATATATATATATATATATATATATGAATATATATATATATATATGAAATGTATAAATATATGGAGATGTGTGTAAAAATGTTATACATTTGTTACTTATGATTTAAGATATAATTTGACAATTATATAAATATTTGCAGTTAGTTCTTGGTAGTTCGGCTGTTGCGAAATTTGTGAGAAACTACATTTAAAAATAAGTTATTTTGATATTGTGACATTTCTAGAAGTTTTAATATGATAATGATGGGATGTATAATCAATGTTATGGAGCGATAGAGCCAATTTTACGAACGGGAGGCAGTAAGGATATATAAATTTACGAAGAATTTACGTGCCGTTGGCTTTAGGCAAAGGACGTACTAAATATAATTTTTCACCCTGTTTATTGGTGTAAATCGGCGCTCTTTGGTAATGATCTACTAATTGATCTAGCGTATGGAATTTTCGTTGACCTATACAATACATATTGTTCTCTACGTGAACACGAAAATGTTTATTACGACCTGGAGCTTTCAGAGAAACTGAATAATCGCCCATCTAAAAAGAAACAACAAATTGATTAATTTGATCTGTTCGATGTTTAATTTTGCTTACATTCGTCTCGCTGTCTCTGATAAGAAAATCACCATCGTGACCATGTTGATTGAGTACCGTGTCGCATTGACTTCGTGTTATGGCCCCATAATACCACGATTTGCCAGCCAAATTAGGCCGTTCAATGGGAGGAGGTGAATTTTGTGGCATTGCATCATTACGGCGATCAATTGAATCACCGTTGGTTCCGGTGGCGTTACCGTTACCAGTAGCCCCATTATTACGATATGGCGTAGCTAAATAATCGTTTAACTCTTGTAGATAATTGCGTGGAACTAAACCGACTTGACCTTGATTGTTGCGTGCCTTATACCAATCGGGATCGGAAGCTGGACGATCTACAATTTCTAAACGATCGCCCTTTTCGAAAGATAACTCTTGATCGTTATTCGAATTGAAACTGTATAAAGCCACCTTTTACAAAAAGAAAAAAAAAAAACAGAAAATATATAGATATATATATATATATATGTATAATGTACATTTATATATATATGTGTATACATAATTTAATTCATTCATTCAAAGAATACGCACGTACCACTATGTCCAACACATTTTCAGCCATAGCGTACGTGTGGACACCATCATTATCACAATCCTCGGTTGTATAATTGCTCGGAAACCAGCCTACCGCACTACCACTTTGTCCTCTCCACCAGCCATCATTTGACTTTTCTAATATTAATATGCGAGTGCCCTTGGTTAATGACAACTCATCCGGCTGCTGTGCCTGATAGTTATATTTGACTACAGCTGTACCGATTGCCTCTGTCGGATCTGGTGGCAGTCTTCGTGACATTGTTGGACTTTCAATTTGTCGTGAAGGTGAGCAGTTAGGTAATGTTTTCGAGCCGGAACCTTTTTTCACTTTTTTCTTAATGCTGAAAAGAACACAAAATAAATTCTACACTTTAGAAAAAAAAAAAAATGAAAAATATATCATGTTTAGGATTTTTCGAAACTATTTACATTTTAATATAAGTTAACCAAGTTATTTATTTCACTATCCAACGACAAGAGTTTGAACTTGTCATACATATTTGCATTGAAACACACTCGCGTTTTCTCATTTAATTAAATTTTTTTTATCTTGCGGCTTTAAAGACAACATTATCAGCTAACACTAAAAGGACAAATGTTTTGAAAATTCTATTTCCAAAATATTAGAATATTTCCCAAAGTTAATACAATTTTTCTAATAGACAATGGATTGACTATTCAAATCTGTAATGGTGTAGGCTTCACAACTTAATATAATTTACAATTATCTCCAATTTCCCAGTCCGAAAATACGTGTAACTAGTAATTATTTCCCAAGAAGCCTAATATCTTACCGTTCGAATGTCACTTATTGAGTATTTTAACGCAGATCCTTTTTTCAAAAATTTTCGGCATAGATGTATTTGTGAGCACTCGACCATAAGGATATCAGTGACTCGTGTTTCTGTATAAAAACAAATGTCATATCTATTCTTAATGAGGGAGAAGCGACTTAAAACGTATTCCTCTTTCTTTTCATAGAAATGTAATAAATCGAAAGTAAAGATTTCGATTTATGTTCTTTTTTAACAAAAATTACAAGACAATTAATTAATTAAATAAATAAATGTAAACAAAATTATATCGAAGCAATATGAAAAGGCTAAATAAGAAAAAGTAAATAAACAAAAAGCTAAAAGCGAATGAAAATAATATCACACAGCAAATTATCGGGATTGCATTGTAGAAAATTTATATTTAATTTAAATTTTATTTATTCAATTAATTCTTCGGATAAACTCACCTATCGAACAATGATGGTTTCTCTTTTTTCACATAATTACTGGGAACGTATCCTGACTGATTGCGGTTGTTTTGTACGCGCCACCAGTGCTTCGAGTCATCCAATAAAAGATAACGTTCATTTTTCCTTAAATCCAACTCTTGGGCTCCTTGAGCAGCATAATCATATTTGGCCACGACATAGCAAACATCTTCTTGTGATTTTCCTAAATTGTACAAATTGAATAAAATATTTTTTCAGTGAATGTTTACAGCCCTAAGTTATGCATACAATTATTTGACTCGTCAGTTCAATTTCCCCCCTCTCTGATTTCTCTTAATTGATTACGTCGTCTTATCTAATTCTTTCCCAAATGACGAATTTACGGTAATTTACTTGCACCTATCTAATCTCAAGATTCATACAAGTGAAGTTTCTTGCGAATAGCAAAAAACTGAACTGATTCATTGTTACAATGCAAGATTCACTTAGGTGAAGTTTCTTGGAAATAACATAAAATTGAATTAATGCCTTGCATACAGTGCGTTTTATGGCATATGAGACTTTTTCAAACTTAAAGTCAACAAAAATCCGAATATTTCTTTACGTAGCTTCTATGCGTGTTAGCTCCTTCAAAAAAACCATTGAAAACTACACATCGATGGAGAATATATTCCCTGAATATATTCATCGATCCAGTAATAGAAAACCGACAAAAATGGTTTTAGTCAATTATTACTTGAGTAATGAATTCTGTCCTGATGTATAAAAAGTATAATTGAACTAACGAACCTTGACCATTAATTTCCCTTGCCCAGTGCAGTTTCCAATACTTGGTTGTGGAAAAAAATGATGATGTGCGAAGAAAAAGATCTTACCGTGTTTCATGTTTCCCGCCATTGATTGTAGACCACCGCCGCAGCTAGAATTACTGCTGCTACCTCCACTATAATCGCCACAATTCGCTTGTTGACTGAAAGTTACACTTTTATGTTGAGCACTACAACTGGACGCTGTCGACAAATTACGATGGTGTTGTGATACTGGAGGTGGTGGCGGTGGAACGGATGATGAAAGTGCTACACCAGCAGTGTAATGACGATGTTGGTGAGCTGGCGACGCTGGCGTCGAAGGATAAGAACCTTGGTATGGGTGAAAATGTTGTGATCCTTGTTGCTGGTGATATTGCGTTGACAACTGCTGTTGCTGATGTTGATGATGAGAATGATGTGCGGGCAAATTATTTTGTGCTGAAGAGGATGGTTCGGGGATATTACGCGCAAATCGTTGGGGATATTCCAACATTCCAGAGCTCCCCTAAATAAATTTAGAGGAGAGCGTCGGAGGTAAAAACGGCGAAAAAAGAAATAGATGAGAACGGGCTACGCAATAATATATTCCAATGAAGCGTGCTGTTTATTTACGGCCAAGGCAGCTGCTACTGTGTATTTAAAAATATAAAGATTATGATAAAAAGAAAGAAGATCAGCATATACTTCCGCTTAAAAAATGCCCTCCTATTGTAATATTCGGTAATGATGGTTGATGATGGCGATGGTTTCTTTTGATGATATTTACGGCAACCGTTTTCTTTACATGTATTTTCTAAAATTTCGCGAAATTTCCATAGATGACATAAAATGAGGCGATGCAAAATTAAAAGCGTATCAAGCTAAAATAATAAAGGCCGTGCAAAACGTATTGCATAAAATATAAAGCAAAAAAAAAAAAAAAAAACGTAAAGCACACCAAACGTTAAAACGCTTCGTGGGAAAATTTGCAAACAAAATATTAAATGTATTTAATTTGAAATAAGAATAACTCAAGGATGTTTATGACTATGATCTGCGATTTTCAAATGAAGTCACGACTACTCTTCTTGTACACGAAATTTATGTTCGTAAGAAAAAAGGTTATGCAATATCATCCTATGACCTTCAGCGTCATTGTATAATTAGTAATATGTATGTATAATCTTTTGATTTTAAAATAAAAAAATAAAAAAAAAACTCGCCTTGTAATGATACTTTAAAAAAAATTTGTGTTGCCGCGTAGCAATGCCAACGTTTTCCTTGCTCATATAGATTTTATATTTTTTCTATTTGAGAAACAAGCGCAGAAACGCAAATAAATTTATTTAAACTTAAGACATACATTGTAACAGATTATATAGTCAAATCCTATTCATTGCTCTATTGAAACTTACATATAGAGCATAGAACCTGTAAAATCAGTAATAGAAAAATTTTAAGTTAAAATAAATACAACTGTTGCCAATTTCCCTACCTTGCACAAGTGTCTGTGAAATTTGTGCAGTTGGCGATCCGCTTCTATTCATATCTACCGTAAAAGCTTTGCTTATAACACCTACCTAGTAAATACATGCTTTATTATGTTGTACTGAATCAATTTACTCATGCCAGTCCGTCTTTTCTTTGGATTTCCAGCACGCAAATAATTTTAGCACTTGGTACTTTTTCGACATTTGAAATGTAGCGTACGACTGAATGATGACTGACAAATCAAGTCAGTGAAAGAGCAAAGGAGTCGATGAAAACCAAACTTTATTCACGTTTCCTTCAATACCTATACCTAGCTATACTAGAACTAGACCGTGAATTCTCATCATAAAAGAGATTTATAAAAAAAAAATTTAATATATAACAGGATTCAAGTTACAAAGATATGCAAGAGAAAAAGGACCCATCTCCGAATAGTTGATAGCAATTACAATTTTTCCATTATGTCTGGGTTTACGTAAGAATTAATTTAAAAAAATGTCGACAACCTATGTTCACCTAGCTTGTGATAATGGATTTGTAAACCGGCTCTGCTTAGCCACTGCACCCGGTGGGTAATATGCCATATGTTCAATAAGTAGAAGAATAAATAGGTTTAAACGATAATATTCTGCTCAAGAACATCTACATGGCTATAGAACATCTTTTAAAGATGTGAAGATATCCTCTACGTGTGCTACGCTTTCCAGGAAACCATTTTGTTAAAGTGGCCTAACGCACTCAAAACAATTCCTTTCTATTTAATTTTTCTTATAAGATGAGAAACCGAACTTTAAAGTTTTCAATTTTTTCTTTTACCTCGTTCAAATTAGTTGACGATTTGTACATGTGAGCAATGAGAACTGCAAATAAAATTATATTACTGCTAGTAGTGATATCGCATAATACCGCAATAACATTCGTAACATTGTCATATGCATGTCACCACTGTCGACGAGTTCATGTCTTTTGGATGATGCAAAATGTATCGAGATTTCATGACGTTGGCGTCGTTAGCTTACAACTAGCAGTTGAATTTACAGATGATTAGCTAATTTTAGATAAATTCGAAGGGATGTCGGATTCGTCCCCGAAAAAATACCATAACATATTCTCACTTTACGTGAACCATACAAAATTTCTGGGAGAGCTCTGTTGGAAGTGGGTACGGCAACTGATCACTTTCAGCCCAAAACAACAAGTTGTTGATGAACGAAGCCTTATGTCGAAATTTTTAGGTGAAATGAAAACAATTTTTTCAGGCAAAATTAATCGAATCGCTATTGGATCTCAAAAGATAGCTCTCCGGAATGAGATATGATTTTAATGAAGGATTGGGACATGGTATAACTCGTCGGGCTGAGGAAGACATTTTTGAATGTTTACGCCGGTTAACATTACACGAATCTATATAACTTTTCAGATTAGCTGACTTTGTCTTTGAAAATGCGTCAAAAACGTTTGAAAAATATGTAAAAATTTACCGTTATCTTAATGTAATTTCTCGTGCGCTTTTTCTAGAAAATTATCTTCTTAGATAAAGCTCATGGATAAGAAAAATATCTCTTGAAGACAATCGTTTAATCCATGAGGCCCTTTTACATTCTGTAAAATTCGGTAGACTTTTGATATAGCGTTTTTATCCCTTCTTTACGATTTGAGGTGGAGGTCGCTGTAGTGAGCTGTAGAGACAGATACTAACGAACTTTTGTTATCTAAATTCGAAAACATTGGTCTAGGTTACATCCGATTTCAACGAAATGTCAAGTTCTGAGAATTTTGACCATGAAGTAATTCCATGAATCACCAACATCGATTGGTGTTCAAGGAGTTTTAATTTAATATTTTTGGGTTACTTGTAGTTGTTCGTCTGCAAAAACAAAATAGACTTTTTCATGCATGAAGAAGGAATTTTGAATGCGCTATTTGCGAAATTGAGCCAGATTCAGTGAACGAAGTTTATCAGGTTCGCTCTTATAACTTATAAGCAGTGATGGTCGTTTCAATGGCTCGTCTAAAATCTAATCTTATCGAATTCACTTTAAAAAAAAATGCTTTTCATAAATTCTTTCAATATTATTATTATAATGTTTTATATAACCGCTACAATATTCATGTATGAAAATGTGTGTGCTGAGTTCCTTTTCTCATGAAAACATTTTTGTATTCATGATATAGGTTTTCTCGCTGAAAAGATTTAGGTATCTTCGACGTTTTTTTTCAGAAAGATTTCTTTAATTCAATCTTAATTTTTGTCATTTCACAGAAAGATATATGATTTTATGGTTTAGCAAAGTATTCTACGAAGTAAAACTAAAATATCGTAAGCAGTTGTCAAAGAATACCAAACAATAAGTGAACAAAGTGCATTCTAACTTTTGTACAAAGTGTCTCAAGTTTTCTATATTTATTAACTGAAAACAAGAAAAAACATTATAGTAAGAGAAGGCTGAGCATCGAATACCCTACAACACCTCCGAGTAATAAGATCTCTAATTTCATTTCATGGTAAAATGTGAGTATAACCCTTTTTTCCAAAGGAAGGAGATCTTTCAATATGAGAAAAGGCCCAAAACGCAAACTTCCATATTCTAAATTTATCAACATCGACTTTCTTGGCCGAGATCTTTTATCTATCATTCTTCACTGGTTTTTGCCACGTCATGATTTTTACAAAAACACTTACTTGATTCATATACGGTACTGTTAATTTTTATGTGAAATTATTATTACGGACCATAATTTGCGCCTAGAACTAGAAAAATATAAACTTTTCTCAACAAATGGATCTCGTACTAATAATTTTGTTGGAGGTGGTCTAAAAAATAGGCCAATTCAATAGAAATTTTTAACATCAATTTAGTACGCCGAAAGGGTATTGCTCATCGATGTTGTCGAGAAACGTTGAAACGTTAGTTGAAGAAGAAGAAATGTTAGCTCTAGGGCTAAAACACGTTGAAATGCAAATTTCGAGTTTGCGGTTTGTTATTAATCACAGTGATGTATGGGTAATTCTCAGACGGATAGATGATCTTAAATTCGTTCAGAAAATGATACTGAATACAGAATGGCAAAGATGCCTCCCATTTAGCATAGCCTGTACTGTAAGCGTTACAGGATAAAAATATCTGTGGAAATAAACATAAATTTTATAATTTTGTAAAATTCTACAAGTAGTCGCCTTTACGTTAATTTAATTTATCATTAAAGGAACATATAGCGTCGTGAAATTTCGAATAAACCGCAAAAAAGTTTATTAACTTGTAATATTCGTATTTGGTGCTAGTTCTGAGAATTTTCATGCCTCTTGCCCGTAAATCAAGTGACGACTGCTTTCAAATAATATAATTCTGGCATCTATGTTAATATGCATTTGGTATATAAAGAGCAATATTGCATTAAAAGAGAATAAGAAGGGTTGAATTTAAAGAGCTTAATTATATGCTTTGAAATGGGATATTCGAAGTTTCAAGCTAAGTCCTCAATTATATGGAGAAGACATACCCTTAAGTTAGTAGTGATTCCTCGCTGTTGAAGAGAGGAGTAACAGCGCAATTTGGGAGCATGTTTTACAATAAAGGTAAATACAGAACATAAGCGCATAAAACAGAGAACGTATTTTCGGCGCATTGAAACGAAAATAATGGGAGTGTTGGTTGTAGAGTTTAGCGTTTAGAGAATAAACAAATGAACATAAAATTACATACCGACTAGCCGCATATACAAAAGAAAATATATAAAATAGGAGCACCAGGAACAAAAAGACATTATAATATAAATTATATAAACTTAACTGAACGAATCGTTGTTGATGAACGGATTGTAGAGGAAATGAATAGTAGGCGAACGATATGGATAAATGGATGGATATTTTTTGTACATATATATATATATATATATATTTATATATGTATATACAAAATATATATATCTATATATACGTATATGTACATATATATATTGTATATGGTATATTACATGGACAAATATGTGTATAGATATAGATTGATATTTTGTGTGTGTACCTACCAGAGACGAAATGCAGTAGCAAAATGATTTTTTCTTATCTTGTAGCAGCCCCAGCCCTTAACGCATTTTGTCCAAACGAAAAGAACCGCTGCGCTTTTTTATCCTTTCTCTAATAAGCAACTTTTTCAATGGTAGTGATGGCAAATGGTGTGGTCATAAGCAATTGTTTTATTAAATATTTTTAAAACATTCGGCAATTTTCTCTTTAAAACTATTCTTTATTTAAATCGAATTTTTACACGTTTACTCAAGAATTAATTCATTTACAATTTTTTCTCAAACGTTATAAATTTTTCCTATTTACTCACATTAAGTAAATTAATTTCTTTGGAATCTTTCACTTTTTCATTTCTTGATACAATTTACATACAATACAATTTTATTGATACCTTTGTTTTCTTTTTTACATAAGTACTTTTAGCAAATTGTAGTGATAAAAATTGTAAATATTTTATATTCACTGTTTATTGATTTATTATAAATTTTCGACAATTTTTCAAAGCAACTTTCTCACATTTATCACCACAGACAGATTTCGCATCTGTCTTTTTCCTCTACTTTATATTAATTCAGTTACAACGTTGCCAGGCACAAATTTTTTAACTCTAAGACCAATTCAGCGAAACGTAAACTAATTGTACTCAGATTATTTCGTTCTTGCTACACTTTGCTAAAATTTTAACACTTTATCCAAATTTAAACTTTTGTGGCTTACCTTTTTCAAATTCAATAATCCCCTTTCAGTTTTCTTAATGCATTAGGAACAATAATCCAATAAGAATTAAATTCACGCCAAAGAAACGCAAACCTAAATCAAGGATATCAGTTCAATTCTAAACTACTTACCTATTATGGGCAGGTGGCGTCCATTTTTAACCTTTATCTATTGCACCAAATTGAAAAACGTATACAGGAACTAGTGCTACCATTCTTGCTCAACTTTTATAATCCAAATATGAACGTTGCAGTTGGAGGGAAGTTTAACGCACTCTGTTCTTTTCGTAATGGATCTAAAAGCGTCGATAGCAGTGGCTACTTTGAATTCGAATGTAAATTTTTTGTTGTTTTATTTTCCATGAGAAGTAAGTTTTCATCGGCATGGTTCATGATATAGCACTTCATCTACAGATATGTGTCGACAAAATGTTAAATTGATAGTTTTCAGCATCAAGGCACCCTGCAATATAATTATAAAAAAAAATAAATAAATAAAAATACTATACATATTTTTTACACACCGATGCAACTGTCATATGGACTAATATTTAAAAGTGGTCGTTACCCGATTAGGACGTTTTAAGATGTTTTGATACTGTCTCGCTTACCTACGTTAAGGAAAAATTTTCAATTATTTAGGCGTAGTCTTTAAACGTTTCATTATCTCCCTTTTAAAGTATATAAAAATTACAATTAATGTCAGTGAGATGAGGCAGATGTCGATTTGATTTATTGTTATCACTTGATTGATACAATATAGGAAATGGAACATTTTATATTTCTAATGCATAAACTAATTAAAATATTTAAAAAGCTATATTTTGGTCAAACCACGAACATATTTGAAGCATGAGCTACGAGACAAATCTGGATATAACACTAACTTGATGAACAAATATAGACGCCTTCAACATTAACTTATTATTTATGGCAAAACAACAACAAACACACAAGCTCGTGCCATTCGCGACAGTTCGCAACATGGTAAAAAAAGCACCCTGTAATATAATTACAAAAAAAAAAAAATAAATAAATAAATATGCTACATATTTTTTTTACACACCATTGTAGACCATAAATATCCCTGAAGCTTAATGAAGATAAAGTGCCTAGAAAAGCCATGAGAGAAATTAAAGTTTATCTTTCCCAGGTAATGTGGCGAATCGAAACATCAAAAATAAATTTACGTTTTTCATGTGACGGTAAGGATAACAAAAGCAACCTATTTTCATAAGGAGGCAGAGAGACAAGCGGGTCGCAACCCAAATTCCTAAGGGCAAACAGCAAGAATTGCTTTTGAATGAATTCAATTGAATCTACCTAACACCTATAGAAAGGAGGCCACACAACAGAGACATACTCAAGTATTGGCCTAACTAAGCACATGTATAGACTTTTTGTAATGTAAAGATTCTTAAGCTCTTTGGATCACCTCTTAATGGTACCTAGAGTGGACGTAGCCGAATAAAATCTTTAGGGAATCAAAGCATATATTGAACGTATTGAACACCATGTATTCGTTTCACTTTTTTCTTCCTTTTGTTCACTTCCTTACTTTGAAAGTTTTTAACAGATTGATAGTTAACCGTAAAATGATCATTCTGTTAATAGAAATAGCGGTGTTTAACATAAAATGGCCAATCAACATGTTATTTCAGTTAGATGGATGCACCTTTCTGCCAAGAGCAATCCTAGTTTTGGGCAACCTGACCTCCGCGGACACCCACAATTTTGCATGGCTTATCGCTCGTATAGACCTTATACCATGCAATACAGATTTCGTGTTGCCCCACATAACAGCGTTTTCTGAGGTTTTCGCCGAACACAGGGTAAGGTACGTCTGCTGCACGCACATGAACAGTCGTTATATATATTAACTAATAATTATTAATAGTATTTAATAAATAATTATAATATAAATAAATAAATATATAATAAAATAAAAACCATAATGATAAATATATTGACGGCATTAAACGATAAATCTAAAAAGAACCATAAATATTAGAATATTGTATCTAACTATTTATTTCCTTAACGCAACCTAAACCCCTGTATAAGTATATGTACACATAAATTAGATCGTATGTATAAGAGCAGATGTTTATGGGGGTTGTATTGACACACGTAACACATAGATGGATCATTAGGCTAGTACCCGCCTATACTGACCAAGACTGTACCGCCTCACGGAAAGCGCTGGAAAGTACAGTATTTTGGCTAGGCTATAGATCGGCAAGCCAATCGGACGTCGCGACAAGAAGAAGAGGACTTCTGTTTTGTTTTTTTTTTTTTCGTTTGGGTGTTGGTTGCTGCACCGAACCGTCGTGACATTAGGATGAAATAGACGTTTAAGTTAAAAAAATCGTATTAGGTTCGGTCGTAGGTCAATAAAGTAATTATATCAGAAGATAAATGAGTGAAAACAAGCAACCTCACAATACATAAAATAAAAAATAGGTTTATTTTTATTAAACTTATTTTTATTATTTTACAATTTTTTAAAATATGAGTTTAAATAGTATTTATGTACTAAATTATACTTATATACTAGACGATAAACGTATACATTAAAAAAATATTAATATAGAAATTAAATATATATTAAATGATTTTTATTTGTTACAACTTTGTTTATATTGGGGCTGAACTCAGGAGGATGTCGTATCCACGGGCTCAAATATCGATGTTGGAGTTTGCTTTTATCTTAGTTTTTACTTCCTTTTACTTTTTTTTCCCCTTTCATTAGCTCTTCACACTTGATTTTTGGTACAGATTTGCGTATATACACACATGTAAAATCATTCATATCATCAATGCAAATGACATTCCCGTAAATGCGGATTTTATATATATATATTCATACATATTAACAAAAACAAAAATGGCTTCTTTTCCTGTAGTATAACATACCAACGGAGAAGTAAACTGCAAATTAGAATAAGTTGGGAAATTATATTCGGCTGTAATCGAATCCTTTATATTCAACATTCTTGCAATACCTTGTAACATATTATATCGTGCTACGAAGACATTATAAATTTCTCATATCATGTCAATGTACGTACTTATGAAAATTTCGAAAAATTTATGTGTTGTTATTATTTATTGAAATTAGTGAAATGTTGACACAAAACTTTACTAATTTTAAATTCAAGAAAGTTTGTATAAACAACAATAGTTTTGGAAATCGGCTAAAGATCGACAATTTCCTTGTATCTTGCGATTTTCTTCTCATGATAATGTCATAACATACACAAAGCCCATAAATATTCAATCCAACCAAATTTTCCGAACGCCAACAGGATTAAATAATAAAAATTAAGAAAATAAACTCACGTTTATGGTAAAGTGACCAGAAAGCTGCAAATATTTTAGATGAAATCTTCTTATTTTTCTTGATGCACCCAAAAAATGTCGCGTTTTATTCTTCAATTGTTTTTCTTGTTTTTTTAAGGCCTCTTACAATTTATTTTTCTTTTTTTCTCAATTTTCAGCGTATTGATATTTTAGCAGAAATTTCATTTGTCACGAAAAAACCGTTAGCTACTTGTTTGTTATTTGCAAATGACACCTAATGTCAAAAATACCATGTTTTGGTAATATGGTTGCGGAGATGCTAAACTATGCGCAGTCCAATAAAATCACCTCCACAACTATGTTAAAAACGGACACATCATCCACAAGCATGTTAAAAAGGGGGCTATTTTAAAAACGAAGACTGCGTCAGAAAAAACGCAGGCAAAAGTTAAAAACGACATGTATAAATATGCTATTTTTTCATTTCAACTTACACATATATATAATATAATATAGTTAGAAGAAAAAAAGCGTTTGAAATTGTCACCGAATTTATTTGTTAAAAATTATATAAAAGTAATTCAATTTTGCAGTATGTTAAATGATGCAAGCAACTTTGCTATTTGACCGATTACCTTGTACTCAGATTGATATAATCATATTTAGGCGGTCAGCGAATCACAGAAATTGAAGATAAACGTAAATGCATCGATGGCCCTTACATCTCCAAAACGTCAAGTTTCTATGCCACCATAAATTATTTAATTTTATTCTTTATTTTATTTAAAAAAAAATAATATTCCAAATTTTTTCTTACTCAATAAACAAATGATTTGTAGTTTGTTTTTTGCGAAGTAGCGAACCCACTAGCAAAGTCTGGCGGTTTAAGAAAGAAAAAATTTGGCACTAAAATTGGAAGGCAGCCGACGAGAATTGAGATGTCAGCTCAGTGCAGACGATTGTCAATGTTGCCAAAGTTAATTAAAAGATTGGCAATTGCGACAACTGTGCGTCCTTTTTAATTAGACTTTTTATCCCTTTCCAGGAAATCAGAAAAGGATTCTTATTATGGAAAACACATTTTTTAAAAATGAGAGACGTGTTGTGTTCCACATTTAATGGATAGTCCGATAGTTAACTGCAAATAAGAATCCAGACATAAAACGGAATTATAACTAACGAAAGATAGCTTCCTTCGGAAATTATTTGATGCATTTATTAAATGAAGGCCTTAGAAATAGCTAGAGTGTGATCCACTCCGTAGGCTACTTTAGTTACTTTACCGTTGATTGCGGTTTTAAAAGGGAAAAATTGATCCTTTTTATGTCCTAAGCCTAAATGACCAAAACGATTTTTACCCCACATAAACAAATCACCATCAGAGTTTATCGCACCCATATGGAAAACACCGCATCCAATTGACACCACACGAGTTTTATTACTAAAGTCATTGCGCCCAAACAATGGTGGCAACAAGAGTTGTGGCTTAGAAGATTGCTCTACAAGAGGACCAAAGCCAAGAATACCGTAGCCCCATGTGTATACCAAACCTTCCTCGTTTAAAGCCATACAAAACGATCCACCAGCAGCCACGTCTGTTGACTTTCCAATTCCCTGCGTTAGTTTAAGATGGATTGGTGTATTTATTTGTGTATTGACTGTGTCCGAATCATTTAATTGACCATATTCTGAATTGCCCCATCCGAACAAATCTCCGTTATTATTTAAAGCTAAAACGCAATCACAAGAACAAGCTAATTTAACAATCTTTTCTCCGCTAATATCGCCCATTGCCTGGACTATAGTACCGGTCGTATTATAATGACCTTGGCCAGTTTGACCATCTGAGCCCCATCCACAAGTGTAAACTTTTCCTAATTTAGTCAAAAACATTGTATGGTCCTGCCCGCAGACCACATCTACAATTTTATCTTCTGGGTCACAAATGTCTTTTTCCGATATTCGATGAATCACACCACTTGCACGGTATACCTCATCTTCAATAATATTGCGACAACACTGGCCATATGAGTTATTGCCCATCGTGAAAATTGTACCATTGCGAGTAACTACTATCAAATGAGCTCTTCCCGCCGACATACAACGCACCTATTACGATTATTAAACAATAATATATACCAAGACTAACTGAAATAGGACATATGGAAATACGCACCATCATATCGCTGTCTGTTTCACCCTCAACTCTCGGCAATCTTATAGCCGTAGGATAGATTATAATATCCAAGTTTTTCATGCCTTGAGCGCGATTTCTGACTTGGAAACCTATCTGTGAGTCTGTATTGAGACCAGAACCAAATAGAGTTTCTCCATCGGAACGCTTGACCGCATATGCTGAAAATCCATAGCCTGCTGTTACATCTAAGATTTCGTTATTTACCGAAAACTGCAAACGTGTAGGATAATTTACTATGCTTGTATAACGTTCTTGAGCTTTTTTTACATCGGTGAGTAGTCCTAAAGCACCGGTTTCCTGAAGGCCCCATACATAAACTCTTTGTTTCGAAGTATTTGAAATTCTTGGTTCATAAACTAAAAAAAAGACACCTCATAATGAATCATAATTCGAAAGCAATTAATCTTCCTTACCTTTAATTTTACTTTCATCCTGTTTTAAAAGACTTCTTTTTGCTTTAGTTGTGTAATGGCGGAAGGCGGAGGTGTGTGGAAGAAATTGTGAGGGCGGATAACGATTACCTTTGCTCGCCAAATTTCGTAAAGCGTTTAGAGAATCTTGCATCTTATATTGTTGAGATATTTCATTAGTCAATTTCCCTTCGAATATACAAAAACACTTTTGTTGATTACTTATTATATACATATTATATTTGTTTATATATATATATTTATTGTATTATATTACTTATTAAATATTAAACTTACTCGAATTCTCTTTAAAATGTGAATATGTTTTTGTCAATAGGGTCAAATTTGCTTTTTGATTTCTTAAATATATGATTTTCCATATAATCGGCATTTTTATCAAAATGATGGCCAAAAATAAATTATTGTATGTAAAAGGGTGGCAATGTATTTTAAAATGAATTGTAGCGTAAAATTACAAGGTTGGGCAAGGTTCCTATTAGAAAGTAACAGATAGAAATAGATATATTATTTATTATTTATTGTCTATCTGTGTTTTCAAAACCTAGATCTAGAATCTGCTTCTGTATGTTACCGTGCAAGACCTTGAACGCGTATGTTGAAAACCAATTTAAAGAAGGTCGCAGAAATTGTTTTTGCCGAGAAAAGTTAATGTAATGTTTACAAAAAAACTAAAATAAAATTATTTAAGATTCAATTAAAAATTTATTTTTATATAGCAGAACTCTACTCCTATCTCTTCCGTTGCTACATTCGAAAAAAAATGCTTTAAGGACGTAGACAGGAAAAAACGTGTATAAGCTCTTATACAGTTGTGACCAGCAAGTAAAGATACTCATTTGCAGCAGAAAATCTCGCTTTATGTTACGTTCGAAACATTGGCTCAATATCCAACTTGAATTCAGGAAAACTTGGTCAAACTTGCTTCATTGCATTGGCTAGTTATAAGCAAATCATCAACCTCGTTGGCTACTATTTATTTTTCAGCAGACGTCGTTTTTTCAGTAAACATAGAATAACTGTTAGTTTGTACAGATAAGAATATAATTCCTTGAAATTGTATGAATCGATATTTCATATCGGACGCTACATGATATTTCATATCTAATACTTAGGAAACGGAAACTACGACTATTTTATTTGATCGCTTTTCTTAATTTGTATTTCAACAAAGGACGACTAAAAAAATTACTTTGTTCAATTCCTGTTGTCCGAATCTTTCCTTTTTCTTCCATATACACTTTCAAATATAAATATATTTCGAAATAAACACTGCTTTTCTCATAAAATGTTGCTGTCAATCAATGCAATGCAATCAATTCCGGCCTTTCCGATCATGAGGAGACGTATAAAAAAAACTAAAATAAAACTCTTTCTTTTACCTGCAGAAAAATAAACAAATCTCATTTGGCCAAGAGCAAAAGGCATTGACCTTTGCAGAAAAGTGAGCAGATTTCAAATTTGTTTACAAACAAGTGCACAGGTCTGTCGTTATGCAGTATCACCAACACGACCAAGTAATACAAATAATACACGACCAATAATACTTGTTGAGAAGATCGCACGGATTTAAACATTGTCTTCAACATTTCGCCTAACCCGTATGTCGCTTAGAAACACTCACTGGTAATGTTTTAATAAAAACATAAAATTTTCTATATTGAGTTTATTTTACAGATGAACATGTTGCACCAAAATGTTATTCTTTCGCATATATTAGCTGCATTTGATATTGTTAAACAAATCTGCAAGACAGTAAAAGCGAAGAGCATTGGAAAAATTGTAAGTAGTAACACCATATGTTAAAAGAAAAGACAGAGATGCTAAACTATGCAATGCCAACATAAGCGACTAATTACTCCATAAATATGTTCAAATGTTCACTCATAGCACTGTGATGCTTAAAAAACTTTGGCAGTTTTTTACTAAAATTATCACAGAGAATGTGAAAATATCAACGCGATGGAAAATGCAAACAGAAGAAAATTCACCAGCAGGCATGTCGGACGATTTTCCTGGTTACTTAATTCTCATAACTTTTTTAGTTAACTATAGTCTGCGACCCATTGAATTAATCGTATTTCAACTACTGCGATTCTTGCTTAATAAAATCGCGATCGCAATCGTCGCATTTCAATAAACGTTTACGATTTACGGTTTACGTTGTTTTAAACAAATCAAACTATTATTTTTGTTGTTTTCAGTTTCACCTTTTCCTTTGTGCCCTTTTTTTGTTTAATAGTTCAATTTTAAAGTTGCTATTTATTCCATGAGCTCAAATTAAAAAAAATTATTAATCATCAAGAGAAGTGCAAAACTGAAAAAGTATAGAACCGAGAACTCACTGCACAATAAAGATAAAAACACAAAAAATTTGGTCCAAAAAAGGTGCAAAAATTATCAAAAAGTTAAAGGAATAGAAATAAATTTGAAGTGCCTAGAAGCCTAGACATCATTATCATTGTTCCTATGATCGTAAAATAAGCAAAAATGGGAGGCAGATAATTTTTTGTAATGTTTGGTATAAAATAATGATTATTGTGTTCTATTTTTTCAGTGGCAATGATTACACATATAACTATTTTTTACCGTTTATTGCCAATATGGTGATATGGTTATAATAAACAAGTCTAAATTGGAAGTCTTCAATCGTCGAAGACCGTTACTGATTTTTATTCGTTGTTCCATTATTTGAAATTAGCTTTAATATAATACGTTTTAATGCAGCAATTTGAAAAATTAGTTTTAATAAATCGCAATTCAACTAAGAAACATTGGCGTTTCGTGCCATGGCCAATAAAGCGGGTAAAGTCGCTTGACAGCGATTTTTTCAAAAAATGGCGAATGACTCGATTGGAAATAAATATTTGAAAAATTTAAGTATGCGTTGCCTTATAGTTCAATATACCATATCTTCTTTTTCCATTTTTCACATTTCATTCGTAGCTGTCCACCTTCTCCATTTCCATTTGCCTTATGCGTTAATTTAAACAATATAGTAAAAATATTTTTTTTTATGAGAAAAAGTGCTTTCTAATCGAAAATTGTGTGAAAACTGAATTGTTCAACGTCGGTTGTCGTTGTTGATTGTTGTTCCTTAGTATCTTTTTAGAAGGTTTATAGTTTTTAAGACAAAGTAATAGAGAAATTCCGCCAACGACATGACACTGAAGCCCAAAAAAAGACCGGCAGTACTTCCAAGTGACACTGTTTAAAAATTTTTCATTAATAGTTTATGCCTTCAATTTGAAGTTCGTTTTTATTACCGAGTAAGTCCTGGAATGAGAATATTATCCGTCTTATGAGCCGTTCCTTAGGCAGTTCAACCATATCGAAAAGTAAGCTAGTGCCACCTACTATGGCATTTGTATTCGCCATTATCTGTGAGGAGATATAAAATAAAATAAAATTTCTATACTCACCAGCGAAAGAGGGAAGTATAACATTTTACGCAGTAAATAGAAAGAAAGAAATAGAAGGCTTCGACACGAAGTGATCGGTACGGAACAGAAAAACAAATGTATATTGGCTTGGACGATCTAAATATGATTCATAGATGTGCCGAAATTTTTGAAGAATGATGCTGCAGAGTATTTTCACAAAAGCTCGGAGCTCTCAAATCTCAAAACTACGTACTGGCAGAATTGCTAAAGTCATATCGAGCCTGGTGTGAGTTGAATGAGAGGCGGATGGAATTTTTCATTATTTTTGAAAGACAGCAGAGGTGTTCTCACTTTACGTAGTACTGTAGGCGTGTCCTCCAGCCGATTTAATCCGTTTTCAATACCAACCTGCGTGCAAGAACTCTCAACGCTTCTGACGAGTTTGAAGTTGACAGCTTCCTTTTTGCCTCCAGGAGAACGTCTACAACAGTAAATACACAGACGGACAGGTGGGCATGCTTAAATTTGAGAGAATTTGATGCAGATCAAGAATATATATATACTTTGTAAGGTCTCTGATGCTTTCTTTTGGGCGGTGCAAACGTTTTAACAAAATGAGTATACCCTTCATACTTCGGTGATGGGTGATCGAAAAGTATGTGTACACAAAATGGAAAAGACAGAAACCCCGTCCGTCAATAGTATAAAATATTCAGACACAACCTAACGTAGTTTTCTTTCTTGTTCTTCCATTGCCACAGTCGTCTTATATTGTAGTGGATTGCGTAACAGCGAATTCTAGTTCAGTTCTTCGAGAATTTCTAGACAGAGTTTGAAATGGGATGCCAAGAATTTTGCTGGAGAATCAACCATCAATGGCATTCCTGATATTTCGCAAATGCAGCCTCCAAATGGAGGTGTGGAGAGAGAGTATTCGAATTTAGCGCCTATGCTTTTTTACGGTTTGAAATTTCATCGTGTCTATTTCGCACGACTCACCACAACATTGTACAACAACAAGCTATTCGCTTCCGATTTTTTTTACAAAGAACTCAAATTGTTAAAGTTCCCAAAATTTCTACTTCATTAGATTCACAGTTTCACAAATAGGAATAGTAAGGCAACTTTTTATAAAAATATGAACTAATTGTCGCCACATCTGATGTAAGTTTGATTAGCGGTAAATTATGCTACGTAACCCTTTCTTGCCGTTCACCTACTTTCTGTTAGTATTTAGGGAAGTTAAAAAGTTATGACAAAGCTAATGCAAGTTTCGTGCTTCATACTTTTTTATGTCAGCCATGGAAGAGTCTGCATATAGATAACTACAAAAATGCAGTACGCTCGTTCAAATATACATATTCTGAATTAGCATAAATTGGCGTTTATCCTGTCCGCCTTATTTATTATTATTTATATATTTATTTACATTTGCAATTTAGCACCTATAAAGTAGCTGCTGAATAAAGTAAATTCTTGAAAATAAAGTTCAATTTAACATTATTATAAATTATGAAAAACTAAGTATGCTGTAGTCGGGAATGGCTGACCTTTAAGTACTCTACGACACTTCACTTACTTAAAATTCATAATTTTTATGAAAGCTCTGTTAGTGGAGGGCGCTGGAGCTTCAATGTGATCTAAATTTGGTAAACTTAAATCACATCTCAAAGAGTTTATTATTTTCATGACAAGCCACGAAGTAAGCTTTGTCGTCATGAGAACCGAGGTACATGCATATAATGTAGTCCAAAGAATAGATTTATGTAACATAGATTTCTTATGGTTGATTTACTAAGGATAAATATTCATCATAAAATATTAAAAAATAAACCTCTTTTGAATATAAAACCTTAGTTTTCATTGGAAACCTTATAGAGATTGAGATCCGAAAAATAGACTTTCGTGGTCCAAATCCGATAAGGTTTATTTTTATATCAAATGTTCTTTATGAACGAATTTTCATCAAAAATGATTGAGGATTACGTCTTTTAACGGTCTAAAGATTCAGTTTTCATCGAAATGGTCATGTGACAAAAATACAACAAATTGCCCATCCAATTTAAAGTTGTCATACCAAATTAGAACGCCAAAAAACGTTTGCTAAGAGATTTTTGTTGACAAATTGCACTGTTTTAATGACTGCTCAAAGTAAGGCGTTATGTGGGAAGGAACAAGTGATACGATCCGAACTATTTTCAATATCGTCTGGCCGAATTAAAAGTTAATTTAGATACTACTAAGTTAGACACGCATATTAGGTAGAGTTGATTTGATACTGCTTAAAGAATTCTATACTGATGTTAATACATAGATTGTAGTGTGATTGCATATCATCATTATGCACCCACTTTGAAGTGTGACAGAATTATGCAAATTCAGCATGATCCTTTTGCAAAAAGAAAAACGAAAATTATTCACCCTTCACAAAATACTCGGACCTATTAAGATATACGAATAAAACTGCGGCGGCTAAACGTGCTTGTGATTCTTGTTGATTTAGATCGTGTGACCATTCTACACGACCCCAAAACTTCGACTGGTATTCTTCCTCCAATCTCGCCAAAGTGACTGCTTTATCAACGTGCAGACGTTGATATAAATCGAATGAAATCACGTATATCATCTAAGTACGGCTTAGAAAGTTCACCACGTTTGGTAGATATTATGCCGCCGTACCTCAAGATGCAAAAAAGATACTGCTGCCTCAATTAAAAGCTAAACCTATTCGCACGGCGAGTGGAATCGAATGCCACGCCTATAAAAATTGTATAAAACTATTCA